AAACCTTCAGAATTACTTGGCTTTATCGTGTGGTTTATCGATCGGTATATGCTGACATGCACCCAAAACTACTTTCTGCAGATATATATGTATATATACGGTCGTCTTCATAAATTGTGCTTCTTTGTCTACAATTTACTGATAACAATTATAAGAAAACATTCCCGTATTTTTGATGATTTCTGCAATATTCTATAGTTCAAAATAAAGTTTTAGAGTTTAAAATACTTGTAAGTGTTGTATATCTACATCATCATGAAGACCACTACGATATTTTTTTCGTGAAGTGCATGTCTTTACATCTTCAAAATTAATTGGCGACCCAATTACGTTGCATATTTGTTTATTTATGGAACAACTTTTATCATGGCGTTTGGCTATAATGATTCTATTTTATATTCCAATCGCTACTTTGTTTTATGCAATGTTTCCTTGGAACTGAGTGTGAAAACTTCAAGTGCTTTTGGCGCAAGCACATATACATATTGGCAACCGACTGCATGTGCCTCACGCAAATCCCTGTGAATAAAGAAATCCTTGATGCCACAATTGAAAGCTCTCTGGATTGAATATTTTCATTGAAAACATATCCGCCTCTGCACTTTAACAACCCGGAACACGAGTTTGTCATGACAACAAATCATAACATCGGCATGCCGACTAGTCAGTATTCAATTTTACACTAAGGCAATCATCCAATTATAATTTATAAACATTTGTTTCAAATATAACAGTATTAGTAACGTGAGTGATACATAGGCTTTGACGTTTCTCGACTTTTTGTTCATATACGGTAGTCGTATCAAGTATATAATTGTCATGTGCTTGATCAAAAATCAGTTGATTTTATGATTTTTTGTTGTAAAATATCGAATTGAAATGCTTTGTTTAAATTTCTGCAAGACTAGTGACGAAGTGCTTCTCTTCATCATTTTATGTTGTATTATAGTTAATTACTCCGTACTTGATCCATATATTAATTTCTTACACACTGAAATCACTGTTTGTAGATTGGATATAATCATATGAAGACTATACCAAAACAGTTGAAAGGCCAGACCTAAATTGGTTTTGAGAAAAAGCCTTTGAGTTTTCTCATTGAATAATAGCCTGAAGGAGAATAGTTTAAACCGCGATAGCAGCCTTTTTTAAGCTTCCAAACAAAAGCTTTTTATTGTGATCAATTGACCATGCCACCCGCAAACTATTCTCTTAAACGAATTTAGATAAGGTTTACCACACCCGGCCATAATTAGATACCGCTATGAAATATACAAAAAAGGTTTGACGATTTTCGTCGATTGGGTACCGTCTTGTCAAAACACAAATCATTTCAATATTGCTTGTACTTTAAATTGTACATATTAACAAATATAATAGTTTAGGTGTGCAATACATTGTGTGATTGCCTTCAGAGCTTTCCAAGTTTGAAACTCATATGTGGAATTCGTGTATTAAGCTGCAGCCTCGTACTTAGGCCCTTATAATGTAAATACTAAAGCGCTTGGGTACAAGGAAGTGTATTCCGCATCTCATGCACAAAAAGGAAACTAGTCGGAGAAATAGCGGTCAAATCCTTTACAGTGTATGTTAAGGCAACTTTAAACTTGACCACTTTAACAATAACAAACGTTTCCTCTTCTGGAAAATAATCCGTTTTTTATTTTTATTATTGAAGTTCGTGTTTCATGTATGGTGGCCGAGAACTGCCACTCAATTTTTCCAAAATAAAATTATCAAAATTAATCAAATTGAAAAGAATTTCAAATAAAAGTAATTTAAAACAAAAGAAAATCCAATTAAATAGAATATTTTTTAACATTAAAATAAAGTTAAAATAATTTGAAAGTAAATTCAAATTTCCACACGGTCTAGAGCTGCCACAGTATACCACAATACCTTGCGGGCATTTTTTCGAACATGGCGTACTTTCGAAATAACAACTGGGTTGAAGACGAACAGCTAAAAGAACAAATGGCAAGGCACGTGAGGGAAGGTTATCAACGCAATGAGATGCTAGATTTCTTAATTAATCAATTAATTCAACTCAAATTACATTTAACGTCAAATTTTTATAAACAGCATTGTACGTTAGTCATTAAAACGTTCTGTATTTATGAAGATCAAAAGGGTATGATTTAAACCACAGTTTGCTTGCTTTTTATTCCCTGTTGCGGATCTTTATGATTCTCGACTTAGCATAATAAACTACATGTCACAACATGAACTTTATTATTATTATCTGGATTAGTCTCTTGCACATTCTTACAAACGATTTTTGCAATTTGATCCCGAATTTCAACGCTTTAAGCCCGCTAGAACAGGTAAATTTAGATTATAATTCAACATAGCCGCATATTCAATTACACTCAGAGACTTAACTTTGCTTTTTGGGGTCAAACGGGGCAAGAATGCTGTATTGATTGTATTCCTGTCTATGAAGGATACGAAAGCGCATCGAAATATCAAAAATACAGCTCATTTGTATTGATTTGGTATTGATTTTGTATTTGAAGAATAAGGCACCAGCTGATACGATATTTATACTAATCCGTCTAATCGATACATCTATTCGATATCGATTGTATCTATTAATGAAATCGAGCGGTAGTTTCTTAAACCATGGCTCTGTCAAAGTCGAGTTGCTTTCACTGCATGCACTCAGTACGAAAGGTCGACTTTTGTCACCTACCAAACGTCAAAATGGAGGACAAACTGAAAAGGAGCAGCTTTGCATGAAATAAGTCACCTACAATTATAATACGGCGTAAGCATAACACCGCAGCTTTTCACCAGTATCGACGTATTCGAGACAGCCGTTTCAGGACCTTACCATGCATTCTGTCATGCAGTAACCACAAAAATTATACTGCATTTTTAGTTTTATCATTTTATATCACCATACGAAAATACGTACAACAACGATCTCTCACTTCCTCTGTGTAATAAATCAAACGTATAGCGTGCTCTTACTTCTATAGATTAATTTAGTCCCTAACACATGCATGCATATATATTTTCAACCCTACAAAATGCGCACCATTTTTACTATGCACGTATACATAGTTTCACCAGTTCTAAACATACGGTTCCTCGGCTCGAGTGTTTTCATGATCATATGATGTCACATCTCAACCTATTTTTATCTTTTAGGGGGTTTCCAATGCACTAACAGGAACAAGGAAGTTCATATACAATCTGTTGCCAAGGCTTAATCTCTGGAAAGGAATTTATAGAATACAAACGTCGGTGGACGACGCTGTTCGTCGTTAAGCCTGCTTTATTTCTTCGACAAGACCAAACGAGTTTTGCCAGGTACGTTCTGTTCCAATTCATGGTGAAATATATAATATATTGTATGTGAATGTGGCTAGCGTTTTGGCATCCAACTGGCCGGAAGATATTCGATAATTGAAATCAAGCCTCTGTAAGCAAAGCGGTCTCAACTTTGTTGTTATATTGGACATTTTAACGTTAGTCTAATAATGTATGATACATATTGAGCATTTTGTCAAACTTCATAACCATAATACGTTGAAATTTAGAAAGATATTTTTCTATAGCCGCCAACGTACTTCATGCGTGACTACATATAGAATTTATATGCAGTATATTCGTAAACAATTAATATCATGAAATATAGTCACTAATAACAGTCTGACTCAGTGAATAATGTAGTGCATTTAAAGCTAGTGAATCCAATTAAAGTATATCCCGGAGTTTGAACGGATTTATGGTACTAAATTAGGGGCAGTGAAGGTGTTACTTAACACAAATGGCGTTGCAAATTCGGCATGTTTGATTATAATGACCATTTTTGTTCTACTTGTTAGCAGGATACATTTGGGCTTTGTCAGAGGAAACAGGTTAACTTGTTGCTTTTGTTCTTAGTTGACGAGGCTATAATTCACCCAGGTGGTTTTTGCAGTGATATTTTGATGCGATTTTCTTTTGATAGATGTGAACGAGCGAATATCCGTTTAAATGCGCCAGCTTTCCACGTTATACCATCATGTAAACATTGGTAACTTGTCTATAACTCGTTTACGTCAGTAAAGAAAATATTGCACCTAAAATAGCAGCAAATGAGCTAAAGATTTTGATTTTAATTTGTCTATATACTAATGCAGTAATTTGATATGTTAAGGAAATAATATGCTTATACCATATTGTCTGAGAAAGGCATTTCTTTCCTCAATTCTTCCTCAAGCTGAGGCAGAGCTTTCGTAGGCGGATTAAGCAATAAAGAAATTCGAGAACTATGCGATTATCTTACGATTATCGTATGTGCTGGAAAGACAACATATATTGTAGTCAATCGTCTTTCGATTTTGGCATTGAGCGAAGCGGTGTATAATTGCCCGCGGAACTTATTTGGTTTGCGAATATTTAACATCTCTGTATCTTTTTCCCTGTGCTTATGCTATGAAATGAAGATTAAATAGATACATTTCCAGATTAAGCCAAATTTGGGTTTAATGGTTGCTATATAGGTAGCTATGTGCGAATTTTCCAAACCATGATAAAACAATTTTTAGGCCTTTCAATTGATAAAAATTTACGAAAAATTTCAATCATCGAAAGTCACTACATGTTAGCTATACTTGCATATCTAGCTATACTGGTCACTACATGTTTAAGATAATGTATTATCTTTAAGGAATGTCGAGCTTCTGAAGAAAGAGCAGGTCAATCGCATTAAGCGATAGGAATTTGCGATGTCGCAATAACTATACAAATCGCGCAGAATAAAATTTCAGAAATGCATAATTATATTTGTTTTTATATTATATTCTATTTTTTATTTTATTATATTAATTTGATTATATTAATTGCAGACACTAGTTTTCAAAATTATAACTTACAATAACACGTTATATTCTTCCTCGACCGAAAAAATTTATAAACCTTCATGCGCATGCCAACTAAGATATGCACATTGGTACTTTAGTTGTTTAGAGCTGGTTTGAAGAAACTACCGCGATTTACTTGTACCGGCCAGTGGCTGATAGCCCGAATATTTAGTTAACTTCCTCGTTCTGACCCTATCTTTGATATGAACAGTCCAAGTGCAAATACAGTATGTTATATATATCAACATAATTTGGATGGAATCATTGATTTATATGCTGCCAATAATAAAATAAAATTCTGTGTAATTTTAGCCTTAAATCCCAGTGACAAATTCTGCGCGGAAATTGCAGATTTATAATTTGATTGTGAAGTGTCCCTGCAGTGAAAAGTGTTTAGTAACAATATCCCCGATCGATAACTCCTACAGTAGCAGATATAGTAGCTTTATGATTGTAGTTTTTTAACTGACAAATCTTTATTCTTTCTTTAGATAATCCACATCTAAGTATAAAGTATGAAGAGATATTTGGGGACGATGAAATTCCTTCCATTTCTAATAATTTTTATGTGCTGTGGGATGTTAACAAACGCACAGTCAAAGGGTACGATTCTTTTTTAAAGTATACTCCTTTATATATACACTAAAGCCTCGTTCTCATTATAGCATAACATAAACGAGATCAATCATTTCGACTTAAATATAAAATATTATGCAAAATGACAAAGCAAGAAATATATTCTTGTGCATGCTTATGCTTCATGTTTTTGCCGATGCTTAATTCCGTCGTACGTTTCATTGCATGTTTGACTGTTTTTTTGCCTATACGCTTGCGTCGCAAGTGAAAACCAGGCTTAAGTGATTATTAATCTGCGTTTAGGTGGCTATTGTGATAATTGTATTTCATTTTAAGATACAAGTATATTAATTATAATCGAGCTGTTTATATAGCAATCTTGTGTTACGGTATATTTCATTCACTACATTGTACTATAGCAAGTAATGTTATAGTTTGCTCTCCATTATTTTAGATGGCAAATTAATATGCCATTAAAAGTAAATCGACACATAACTGCACGTGATTTTAGTACCGTGTTATCGTGAATTATTTTCGAAAATATTCATATTATTCCCCTTTGTTTTCATTTTCTTATGTAGAATCATCAGTTAACACCACAACTAACGTTTCACACCCGAGGCCGACAAAAGTTATTCATGGCATAAAGTCATCCAAAACTGCTCTGCTATCGCAAATGGTTTTCTCGACACAACGAACTACCATCGCAAGTCAGAGTTCACGATTAAAAGGTATTATTAGATTTTTTCGTGCTAGATTTTTACAGTTTGTTGCTGTTATCATTTTCGTTGTTGCATGTTGTTGTTGTTGTTGTTGTTGTTGTTGTTGTTGTTGTTGTTGTTGTCGTTGTGGTTGTTGTTGTTCGTTAATGTTTTTGTTATTGTATATGTTTTATGATTTCTTTGTCTTTTTCTTTGTTTACATTGCTTGATGCGCTTTGTCATGATGTTTTTTTGTTATTGTTGTTGTTTGTATTGTTAGTCTACAATTTCAATTGAAGAGAACTAGTGGAAGGGAGCAGTCATTTTGTAGAAAAATGGTGGTTTCTTGATCTAACACCTTCCAGCTCATTTGACTATAGGAAAAAAATTACAATAAGTACATTGACATTTCATTTTTGTCATTCTGTCATTGTAGCCATGTTCGTGACCTGGGTTAAAAAACTAGTTAATTCCAAAGACAGATAGCTAAATCTATCTCGAAAGACTGCGTCGAGTCACTTCATTAATCAGGAATTCATTCTTGATTTTCTTTTCTTAATCCTTTTTTCTGAATTTCAGTTTCAGCCACGAGAACAATTGTCACTTCAAGTATGACAGCAAACATGACAACGCCAATTGGGCCCAGCCAAGGTACGACAAATTAATATCATAGTTAGGGGCTGTATATATCAGCCCAGTTATCCGAGATTCAACGAGGCCTAAGATGATTTTGAGGTCTTGAAATGAGCAGATAATATGATCCTGACTGTAGTGTAATTACCACAACAATAGCATGTGCTTGTTTGGTGTTATAAGGACTTATCCCAATACCTGAAAGTCATCTCACGGTACGTTGAATCTCGGGTAACAGGGCGCATGTAAACAGCCCCTTAACCATCTAAATGCTACGAATTATTGCAGGTGTAATTAATGAAGGTGGCTCAATTGTACTGTCGTGTGCAGGGGTCGCAGAAGAAAGTTTACAGTGGTTGGAGTTACCAGACCGAAAAAACAATCAATTAAAAAACAATACTGAAGTGAATATATTTATCAATACCACCCCCCCCCCCCCGCGGTTCTGACCCTTCGAACCGTCGAAGGACCAAATTGCAGCAAAAAAACGATTCAGGTGGTCGCTTGAACGTTCTTCGTGTTTCCAAGCTGGCCTTGCGAGAAAAATTGGTCTTTTCAGGGCTGTTTTAATGAAATTTATTTTGACGTTTTACTATAATAAAATTATACTATTATAAAAAGAACAACAGGGTTTACTAAAAGCGATGGTGTTTCGGGAAACATTGGGCAACTCCTTAAAACTTAAAACAATAGCAAATCTTTTTTAACCTCGTTTACACTCCCAATTTCTCTTATTGCTCTAGGGCCAATGACAAGTGATAGCACAAACCTAGGTTTGATCGTTGGCATAGCTGTTGGTGTCGCAGCTTTAGTAGCAGTCGCCTGTCTGGTGCTGTGCCTTGTCAGGACTCGTCTATCATGCGGACGGGTAAGCAGCGTCTTTTTGTCATAGCCTGCATAGCAGGTGGTTATAGCAAGGCGTGTGATGGGCAGAGAAAGGGGGGGGGGGCTGATGCCCTTTAATGATTCTTCATAACATAACGTATTCAGGCGAGTACTCTAGCGAAATTGGGAGCATTTTCAGGTCATACATTCGGGCAAGAAATTTCGCCTACTCTCAAAAGTTTAAGAACGCGTGCGCCCATAAAATTGTTCCAAAACCTACGAGAATGTGAATTTCTCAAAACTGCCTAATATCGGAGTGAAGACACGGAACAAACGATGTCCATTTGAAACAACAAAAGAGCAAATCATTCTGATGATACTTCTTCATCTACTTCGGTCAATTTGGCAGCTAAAATCATGCATTAAAATTATACATTCTTTTATCGTGTCTCTCAAACTTGATGAGGTGGCTAGCTAAATGAACACAAAAAGTGACTTGTCAATCAAGTCAATCTTGTCAAAATTATTATCCTTACTAACCCTGAATATCACCGTGTTTTGGTCACCGTGTTCTAGCTTAACAAAGTAGAATCAGTGGGTAGTGGGGTCATGTAAGGTTTTTCGGTTTCTCCTAATCATTTGTAATTATATCCGTTAGAAATGCAAAGGTCGTAGAACAGGAGCACTACCACCTGTGACTTATAACAAGCCTAATGAAGAAGGACTCAGCGAAGAGGTAGGATTCAAGTTTTATTAATAATTACTACTACGGTTGCATTTGCAAAGAAAACATAAACTGATAGCCGTTGCCATCCTCTCTAACCTTCGTATTCGAGATTTATAGCATATCGTATACGAAATTATTATTAATTGGCACTTTAATAATATTTCTTTGTGAAATTTGTAAAATAATCACGCTTTTATTTGCCGGAAAATACAATGTAACATGACCAGAGTTTTTTAGTAGAATGGTGCATTGGTGTGATGGTGTCTTTCATTACAACACGTCGTGTAATTCTGTCTTTAATTGTTTTAGACTGGGAAAGATCACGTTGTTCGTGTTGATAGACTTCGCTCTTTAAAAAGTTCTCAGCCCCGAAGCGTTCGCGCTGATTTTGACAAGATGAAAATGCCGTCAGATGACATGGCGTTCTCTAATGATATGGCTATTGAAGATGAAGAAGAAGTTGAATCAAGAGTGAAAAAGGCGAAGGAACGTCGCAGTAAAAGTAAGCATACAAGCGTAATAATTGACACGAGTATAAGATTTCTGATTTGCGCGTCAAACGCGGTGCTTTTGCCTACGCCATCTGACGAAACTCGTAGTCGTTGCACTTCTGCATGTGAAATTAAGCAAAAACTTGTACTTCAAAACTCGACTACTGCGAGTTTTGACTGATAGCGTAAGCAAACAACACGCTGGAATGACGAATCGTGTACTCGCAGTCACTGCTAAGACTCAATCGTGTACTCGTAGTCACGTCACAGAGGACCTACTTAGACAGAGGTGTAACTGTTGTAGAAAGGCTAATGTTTGAGTGTAACGAAAAGCTTAGCCAATGCACGTTAGGGAGGCATGGACTCCCCCCAAAATATTTGCAAAATGAAGGGCGATTATACCAGAAAAAATACAGCAAAAATTTGTTTCTAAATCAGCTAGATGGTTTAAAATCTCGCCATCTTGAAATTTGAGTTCGGGTGGGTAAATGCCTCTCGAATGCACACTGGCTAAGCTTTTGGCAGCGCGTTACACCTTTTTGTCTGAGTGAGACTTCTGTCCAAGTAGGTCCTCTGTGGCACGTCTAATACCTTTTTGAAGGGGTGGTCGACAAACTCGCAACATATAAGTTTTTCCATGTTAATTAAGATACACTTAATTCTGGTGATTTAGAGGCTCCTGACATTTTTAATTTAAACGAGGCAATGCTACTTACAGCGTAATTTTGTGCACGCTTAAGAAATTTTTTCACTGGGATAATAAAAAAATGGGAAGAGATTCTTGATTTTTCCATTTTTTTTTCTAGCTCTTTCAGTTCGTCCTGGCCTGGTAAAAAAGCTTATCACAACGGAGGGTGGCGTCACAAAAATAGCTGATATCTCGCTCGATGTCGGGCCTGGTTGTCTGGAAAACGACACAGAGATCACATTAATAAGAGACGATCAGAATTTTGCTTTCCAGTCTTTGCTGAAGTTGGGTCTGGTCGATGATACCCCGCGAGTGGTCGAATTCCTTCCAGACGGTCTGAAATTCCTGAAGCCAGCGCTCCTTAAAATAAAATGTGAAAAAAGTGACCCCGAATCCGAACTGTTCGTGCTGCATGGTTCCTACAACCCTGATTACCAGAGAACCGTTTGGGAACTGGTAACGAATGATCTCGAGGAGAACAGTATCGACGGAGTCGTGAGCATGAAGATTAATGGTTTCTGTTTTTATAGCTACATTTTGGCAAGACGTGGCAAAATAGCGCGAATCTTAAGTCATCTTAATCATTCGTTCACCTGTCGTGCATACTCGTTCTATCGCAGAGCTTCAGTGGATTCCATGGATATTTCTGTTGTTATTGTAAGCGAATTTGTTAAGAAAAAGCGCAAAAAAGCGCAAGAACGCATCGACCAGCTGCAGACTCACCAGGAGGAAGGCTACACTAAAGGAGAAAAGGGAAAGTTGAAGCGTGTGCACACGGATCGTGGCCTTGAAATGTCTCTAAATTTTCCAGGTCTTATAAGCAGCCCCTTTCCGTTCAAAATTGATCAGCCCCAGCTGGATAGTGTCGGTTTCGTGGTGGAACAATTCAAGGTAACACCAATAACTAGCCCAGCAAATGGAACGGTGGACATAAAAGAATTGCATCGAAATGCCGCGAATAAACTTCTGTGGAACTTAAATATTCGTGAAATGGAAAAAGAGATTAAAAAAGAAGCTGAAGGTAAAATAGTTTGGTTTAAAATCCATTTAAGATCCCACGTGATAACGATGCCGATGTATTTAATAAATTGAATCCAGACTTGAGTTCAGATTATATCTTGCCTGATTTTGAATTTACTAAATTATTATCTCTTCTTTAATTATTGAATAAAATTTCAAAACTTTGTCAATGAATCGGCAAATTTCATGTATTGGCGCCAAACGTTTGTGGTCCAATACTCCTTCCAAAATTATGAAACAGTTTTGGCTCTAAGCAAATATCATAGGCACACTTCACATCACTGCAGTAAAAGTTCAAGTTGTAGTATATACTAAGTGCTATATATCGCCTTACTAACTGCATCTTATTCATTTTAGTCCTATTACATAATACACCGGAGCCCGGACCACCACAAGGTATGCTAAGTTCTACTCTCTTGTTTTTCGCTACACCCCACGATTTTACCCTTTGACCCAAACACGTTTCCTTACGGATTTACATGTAACATGCACTTCCATCGAATTGATGCCTTTTGTAAAATTTGGGTCGTGTAATACCTTTTGTCTAAATCTATTTACATAGATTTCGTGAAATGTATTTCAGGTAGAATCTCGTACCCAGGGTCTTTAATTTTACCTCCCCTGGGTAACAGTATCAATATATGGGATGCATGTAAGAACGTTTCCCATATAATTTGTATACTTCTAACTAGGTGACATTTTTGTTTTCCTAACTAACTGTTGATATGTTCATTTCTAGTTGTATACCGAGACACCGTGCTGTCAAACGCTGAGATTAGTAGAATGAGCAACGAGATTGGGATGGACTGGGACGCCCTCGCGGCACTCATGAATATTCCATATGGAAAGCGAGATGAAATTAGGATGAATGCCAGCCAGTATCCAGATAACACCGCTAAAGGCCAACAGATACTCGCGTTCATAAACGAAAGCCAAAATTTTGATCGGCATACTCTCGAGAAATGCGTGAAGGAGCTGGGAAGAGGCGATGTAAAAATCGAAATCCATCCTGAAGATGAATGTCAAGTATGAAATTATCTATAGTTTTTTTTCTATTTTTTTTACGATTATATCACGTTCTGCCTCGTTCCTAAATATGTATGCCACTCTTCATACTAAATTTAGGTTTAAACACCCGTAATTTACGTTTAAACACCCGTATAATAACTATGTGATAACGTAATTATTATCATCTCATTCTCACCACGTAATTATCACCCGAATTATCGCGTCTTATGATGCTAGCTTTTGAGGGGTGTACATGATATGCCCAGTATATATGAGACTTGAAAATTTGCAATATAAACTGATAATAGATCATTACGAAAAGTCCACACTGCATCGTAGTTTGCAGACAAAGCAGGTTCGTGATTGGCTAACTGGGCGCATTGACCAATCAGAAACATGCTTGACAGAAATCTTCACCATCAAGAAAAATTTCTTATAGGCCGTTTGGACTTACTATAAACAGTTTGAGATTCGTCGGTCATCAGCTGCAAGTCTTGTTTTGATACTATTAGATATGTTTGATTGGATAATTTGAAAGAGAAATTTTCTGCGTATCTCAAATCAGGTAGTTCTTTTCACCTTCAAAAGGATTTCATGGAAAAACCTGAAATGTGTTTGATTTCTCGTTTATCCTGGGGCAGATCTAGGGGTAGTCAGAATAAATTACTACAGTTTAAAATCGCAGTCGCATTGCCAGATCTTTATTTAAAGATATTCTTTTGTAATCCATAACCAATGACGTTATTATTAAGGTGCTTTTAATTTAAAATGTAGCTGTGTAATTTATGCTACCCCTAGATCCGCCACTGCTGGTGAATCTGTCTAATAACCAGTAATGAATTCGGAGCAACGTCTTAGTGTTTAAAATACCATTCATTAATGACTTTGATTGCTTCTTCATTTCTTATGAACAATATACTTCTTCCAATAGGACGAAACCATTGATGGAACAGAACCTCCACAACCCCCTTGCGAATTCCCCCCGTACGAGAACATCACGTTGAAGAACACGCCCCTCTCCCCACGTGAAATGTACAGATTAAGTCGGCGTATATTGCTCTTCTGGGCACGTTTTGCTTGTCTTATGGATGTAGACAAACCAGAAATAGATAACATCCAAACGAATAATTTCTACAATGACGATCGTTCAAGGGCAGAAAAAGTTTTGTCGATCATCAACAACCAACATGACTTTTCGCGAACAAAGCTGACGGATTGCTTAAAGGATCTCGACAAACTGGACTTGGTTGAGCCGCTGACGAATGGCGCGTGGAGGCAATTGTGATCATAAAATCGAAATAATATACTAAAACCGCATTCGACATAGAAATGACATGAACGAAGCCTCAATAAAGACATTAGGAAGTTTTTTAGCAGTGAGTAAACCGGAAGTGCGAGATTCGTCTTCATCGCGCTATCATTGCGAAGAAGCGACCGCCATGTGTCTTGCTGTAAGTCACATCAAATCGCATCAAATTATTTGAATAGCTCAGAGGACTATATAAAAACTGGAACAATAACCAGGTCGCCATTTTTAAAGTCAATTTGAAGCCGAATTAGGTGCTAGTGCCTATTTCTTTTTTCTTCACGGTCGAAGATTTCGTCGAGAAAACAATAGAACGAGTCAGCGAACTCTATAAAGGCGGTTTTCCACTAGTTGCCTAGTGGTCGAAAACCACCTTTATAAAGTTCGCTGACTCGTTCATCGTTGTAAAAAGTCGTAAATGATTCTTTAAATATGAATGCATAAATATACCTAAAAATGAACCTAGCTCACCCCATCATAACCATCATAACCCACCATAAAATGAGAATAAAATGTAATCGTGGATGGGGTTTGGACCTCAAAAATAAGGTAGTAATGTAAACAACGCACGCCATAAGTTAATATCACTCGGCCACCCTCAATCCTTATGAAAAACTATGAACTTGTAGTTTTAGATCACGAAACCATACTTTTTTAAAATGTTAATAAGCATAGTTTTAGTTCGCGATAAAACCGAGTTCAAATGGGCGTCGACCATTGTAGATTCTGGAAACTGTTCATAGAATGTCGTTATTTTATTAGGAAGGATGAGAAATTAGCTCAGTTTATACTGTGACACAGAGTAAATGCACCGATAAAACAAATTGTGGATATATTCTTTAGTATTTAGAGAATAGATGTACGTTCTGGTCTCATAATACACTGGATATAGGAATTATACTTGTGAAAAGGAAAAACCAAAGTTTATGAGTCTATATTTTTACGAGAATCGAACGTTAGTTAAGATTTTCCAGTTGCTACGTAATTATCCAGAGTATTATCAGAGACTAGCTGGATTGTACAGCAAGCAGAAATAATTTAAGGAAAATAAAGAAAAATTAATTTAGAGAATGATACTATATATTATATACCATATTGGCTATATATTTTGTTCATGTATATATTTTTAATAAACAATATACATTAATAAATATTAAATAACATATTCATGCTGCTGGTCTCGAACTATTTTATTTCCATTCAGTGCGAAATGTCGCACGATCGACTTTTTGCGATCGCTTTCTTTTGAAATATATAGACAATCAGGCGGAATATACAGGGTGAGTAAAAAAACCTGACACTTTGAAATTCAAATTAGCCGCGAACTTATGGCTGGAATTGACAATTTCCATGACAGACCCATGTGAATGTACAATCAACAGGACGTGGTTAATTAATGCGAAAGTGTTTAAACCAATTGAACTAACTCAACGTGGCGCGTGTGCTAAAAAACGATTTGATAAAACTGTTCTTCTTTATTTACAGGGCTTAGAATGCATTTTAACTCTCAAAGGGAACAAACTTTATGTTCTAGGTTAATTAATGGCTCACTTATTTGATATGCTTCGTATAGCCATGAGATATCTTAGACAATATCTGTGACATTACAGCCGCTATGCAGCTAATTTGAATTTCAAAGGTGTCAGGTTTTTTTTACTCACCCTGTAAATACTAATACCGTTAGATGAGCTTGACTGGACACATTTGAAAAGAAAGCGATCGCGCGACATTTTGCACTGAGTGGAAATCCGCCTTTTTTCGCTATTTACAGCGGCTCCTGGACAAGCGTGACATGAAGTTGAAAAGATATTATGTGTTGGTGACAATTTTTATTGTCACGGGTGACATGAGCCTACAATTAGAGACCGAATATAGTCGGACTAGCCGACTCATAGCTATTGTTTATTGACACGACGAAAATGCGACGTATAACCATGCAGACCTGGACGAGAAGATTGTGTATTTTGAAGTGATTTAAAACAAACTAAAATACAAGCTAACCACCCTGTTTTAATGGTCAAATGCTTGTCCTATGTAAAGTTTCAAGCATGTTTTGTGCTCATATACAACCATTAAACTATATTAACCATGCATGCTTTGGTTATGATGTCAAATATTTTGATATTGATAACCACGCAGGTTAAACGTTCAAATAATTGTCCTATGTATAATATACAACCATTAAACAATATAACCATGCATTGGTTATGATGTCAAATATTTTGATATCGATAACCACGCAGGTTAAATGGTCAAATGCTGGTCCTATGTAAAGTTTCAAACATGTTTGGTGCTCTTATACAACGATTAAACAATATAACCATGCTTTGGTTATGATGTCAAATATTTTGATATCGATAACCACGCAGATTAAATGGTCAAATGCTGGTCCTATGCAAAGTTTCAAACATGTTTGGTGCTCATATGCAACCATTAAACAATATAACCATGCTTTGGTTATGATGTCAAATATTTTAAAATGGGCAACCACGCAGGTTAAATGGTCAAATGCTGGTCCTATGTAAAGTTTCAAACATGTTTGGTGCTCATATACAACCATTAAACAATATAACCATGCTTTTGTTATGATGTCAAATATTTTGATATCGATAACCACGCAGGTTAAATGGTCAAATGCTGGTCCTATGCAAAGTTTCAAACATGTTTGGTGCTCATATACAAACATTAAACAATATAACCATGCTTTGGTTATGATGTCAAATATTTTGATATCGATAACCACACAGGTTAAATGGTCAAATGCTGGTCCTATTATGTTTGGTGCTCATATACAAACATCTAATATAAAGTTGCAACTTGCAGGCATCGAATATGGCCGGAAAACGGTATACTCGACCATGGTCGAATACATCGGAAAACGGCATAGCTACTCGACCATGGTCGATTGTGCCGGAAAACGATATACTTTCATGACTATGGTCGAATACGCCGGAAACGGTATACTCGACCATGGTCGAATATAACGGGAAAACGGTACAATCGAATATCGTGGAATATACCGGAAAATTACAGATTGCTGCATTTATATTAGCTAATTGATATATGACTAACCCGCTTGAAAAAAAATCCTTCTGTGGAGTTTTGTATTAATCTCACATGTAATGGGACAAAACTAGCATATACTATATTGGCGTGCTGACCTGACAAATATCGCTGGCCCACTTACTTGGGTGAATTTTGAACCTTGCAAAATCGCGCGAGTCCGCCGGACAACGCACCGCAGCGAAGTGAAAAATTTTGAACTTACTCATCTCTATAAGCATTGTTGGAAGCTGGCCACTGTCGAAAAACAGTCAATTTCGTAGAATGGGTAAAATGAATGTTCTTATTTGCTTTAAATATTTGCTACAAAATATTATAAAGTATAGGATTTACAAAGTTTCGACTATAGGACATGCAATGCCCACTATAGTAATTACGTTATCATGCTGGGTGAATCATGCAGCGGTTACAATAATGTTTACATGACATTCTATGTTAAAACTTTGAAGATATGTTTCGTGTTTGTAGTTGTACATCATTGTGTGTTCACCAACCGTGAACCATCCATGATTGCGATCCGGATTGCCTCTGCTTGGCGTATTCGGACAATCTGGTTCGGGTTCCCACCAACTCACAAATGCTCTTGGTTGTCCATACTCAACAGTGGCTGTTATAGTCTGCACACTAGGACATTCGCAGGCTAAAAAACAAAGTAATTCTGTTCAAGTGACATTACAAAGAAACCAGCTAAATCAATAAAATCAACAATGACCTATTCGAATTGCCTTTATAAAAACCTCAGTTACATAACTTTCAATTAGGTGAAAATTGCACTGATGATTTAATAGTAACAAAATCTATAATTAATGAGTTTAATATTTTTTCAAAAGATCTCTGTATGATAACGGGAAATACTTCTGAATGAAAATCGAAATGGATTTAGGTGTTATCGTGGATTCTTTCCATTTTTAGCAAAGAGTGCACTTCATGCCTAACTCCATTTCTGTGGTCAGCAAAATGGTAACAGAAAGTTATAATTTGCAGGACATGCATGTTGGAAACAAAAAGGCGTCAAAATATTAGACATTGTCAAGACTTACCATAAACTGTAATGTCGACAAAACAAGCACGGGTTGTAAGCTTGTCGGTACGACCATAGTAGGAGAATTCGTAGGTAATGATGTGCATTCCAAGTCCAAATTCCTGTGGATTTTGTGTGCCATGAGGTTTTACCTCCGCCGTGTAATCAACCGGCCGTGTACATCGGAGTCTTGGCTCCAACCAATTTATCATTATCTTATCTTCACCCGGCCTGACATACTGCTCTGTAGATATCCCGCCTTCACAATCACAATACACTGTTGAAATTGCAAAATGACACTGATTTTCAAACTTTGACGTTAATTACCTATGATTAATTTTGGAACCGAAACATTGGGTAACACGAACAGCTTAGACAACAGTCCACCATATACAGGAACATTATTTCATGGACCAAAAATACGTACCATTGACTAACAATAACATACCACTTACAAACATGGCATAGTATTCACCAATTTTTAAATACGATGCATAAAGCAACATGTTGGAACAACCGTAGTATATCATGGACTAGCAATATTCGTTAACCGTGTTTACCACTTCTTATACCATTACTAGTACGTACATATATAAAGGCCTTTTCACATGTTCCAGTGCTGTCGATCAATCTAATTCACTTCTAAAGGCTGTCTTATTGTCTGTTAATTTGCAATGTACATGGGCAGCAAATCAGCTAACGCCAATGCAGTACTGCTTTATCAATAACAGACTTTATTCCATACAGGACGTCAGAAGTAAATGGATCCGACAAAATTGGATCGTATGATTATAAACAGATCTTAAGTTACCTGTTTCAACACTGCAGGATTCTTTAACAATTTTTCCCAAAACCTTGTCCAAATCATCAAACCCTGAAGTGAACATATGGTTCGACCAGGAAACGATATTATTTACGAATCTTTCTTCTTTTGCTTCGGGTCCAACTGCCAGGGCGACAATTAACACCTTTCTATCCATAAGCTCTGCTGAATACTCATTAGCCATCTCAATTTGTTCTCCTAATATTGTACTGTTTCTAGCCCGTGGCTCCCCGTCTGTGATCAACAGAATGACGTCGCTTACATCTTTCCGATGATTTAAAGGACTTCTTAACCTGAATTCCTTGATTTGGAAGAAAGTGTATGCTTAATTTAACCAGCAAGGATGATATATAATTATCATGGGATACAGAGGCCTGAGAATCGGATGAAAAAAATTCTATATAATCTATATTCTATTGAAAACAAGTGACCATCGCAGATCATGCTCTATAACCGTGTTATGACTCAAAACAGAATTGTTACTGACTTCAATAAAATCACTTATAATTAAATAGAATTTAATTTATTTCAGACACAATGAGATATAGATTATTGAAATACTGAAAGCACTGGCTTGCAGTGATAGGGTGTGGAGAGAGATATAGGTATAAGTAGAGAGAGTAAAAAAGCGCCCTCTCCCATTTCTTCTGGAAATTACTTTTGGTGGTTTTACGTTCATACACATTTAAAATGGCCTTAAATTTGTCTCATCTGACATATAACTAAAAAATCTAGTCAATTAAGCACCGTTGCTTTATACGTGTTTACATGAAGAGTACTTAACGTGTTTATATTGCACAAGTGTGTTGTGATTAACATGCAAATGACGCGTCAAATGACGTTATGCGCATCAAGCATGCATTTACACTGAATTTTCTCTCTCATTCGCGACGAGTATTTATGTAAAATGCACGTGCATACGAAGGGAAAGAACTCTCTCATATGTTATATTTGTGACTAATCATGCAAAGTATGATACAAACACACAGTTGTCGGAATTTCATCTGTTTTATAACACAGCCTGTACTGACTTACATCGCTTGCAAGCTTGAATGCTTTGCCTGTGTAAGTAGATGGCCCCATAAGATCATTCACATAGTCCAAGTTGTCCAGCCAAGAAAGCAGATCATTTTTATCATTCTTTGATCCAATCTCCAACAAGTTTTCGGTCTTTCCATCACTAGCAAATGTGATAAAACCAATATGGCTGCCATATTCTCCAACGTTCAGCTTCTTATTTACGATGAGGCTCTTTAGAAATGGTCGCACATTCTGCTCAAAATTTTTCAAGCCAACCGATTGGGAGTTGTCCCAGACAACGAGGATATCTTTAATGCAATCTGAAATTTGAATAGATTTAATGAATCTCATACTTTATGTTTTTTACATAATATAAAGTCGTATAATAGCGATAGTATATATGATACTGAGAATAGTTGTGAAATTGACTGCCATATCTTCATGAAATGTATCTTTAAGTTCCCCATTAAATTCCCTTCGCAGTACTAAGCGTAGAATATCTTGATTAATTAAAGGTTTGGAGTAGTTTCGTAAAAGACAATTACATTATATAAAAATATGGTAATTAGCTAAAGCTATTCAGGTTTTGCCATCATAGTCTGGCTGTTTTACAGAACACTATACCTGTATCTTTCTCTTCAGTCTCTATGGATGGAATTCCTCGTCGTTCAAAATGATAATCTGTTCAGGAGAAATATAATGCAGGCGAATGTGAGTTTAAAAATATACAATTATTGAGGCGGTATGCGAGTTCGGGCAATTACTATATTCTTGTATTAAAATATTATTAAACCGAGTTATGCATACAAATATAGTTCTAGAATGCAACAGAGATTGCAATAGTGTTGCAATTTAGTCTGGAAAGTCTGCAATTTCAGAATCGTTTCGAATTCCAGGATTAAAGTCAAGTTATAATTATTGAAAGCCCTGGCAGTCCTATTATTTTTTAGTGGCCAATAAGGAACAAAATTTATTCAAATTAACAAAGCACTTTATTCTCTAGTGATTATGTCGATATTAGGTATCACCGACTGTCACTGACAATGAAAGGCCTGCTGAATGAGCCACCAAAGATAGAGGGCTATTTTTACACCACATATCGCAAGGAATTAATCAATTTCCTTTGCGGCAAAGCTGCAGCGATGACACATAATTAAGGGCTTGATATATAAGTTTTTGTGGCCAATGCATTTACCATGTCATACTAAAAAAAAACACTAAATACTTTTTATAAACAAAATCAAATACCGTCTATTTTGTCGTACAGACTGGAAGCAAAACTGTTGTGAACAAACAGCGATAAGATCATCAACCATTGCGCCATTTTCTCCGATTTTTGTCTAATATATTTTCTGTCAGTATTTAACTCAATTTAGCTAGCTTCCTTCTTGAAAGAGGTCTACGCTCGATTACTTAGGACTACAAACATCCTGCTTTTATATACTGTCTGGCGCTATCAAAATTTTGTTATCTTTTCTCACACTCAAAACGACCGTTATTTTCCGATGACATTTCTCAGTGCGTGGCGCCGGTCGTTAAGATGTATTACAACGCTCATTGGCACACCCATACATTGACGATTATAGGGAGACGGTTACTGACCCACCCATGCAAGACTGGCCGCGCTTGTCCGTTATCCATTGCGTGGGGTATTGCGTCAATGTTTTTTAAATGTTCGTCTTAAATACCCGCAATCACGCAAATATATAGGCCGTAAAATGGTGTGGTCTACTTGGTGGGATATATTTGTAAGTGGAGTAAGGAAATCATGTCAAATGGCACGTAATGCATGGTTACCAAATTCAGTGCCAATACAGCGAATAATTAGTACACAAGTTGAACTTCATGGAATCTAGCATGCCGTCACATATAACCCATGGAAAGTCTTCCTCGCTAACGGTTTGAAAGCATAATCCTTTTATTTTTGTAACACTGCAATAGTTTGCGCGTAATACAATATTCCTCGCTAGAAAGATTCCCACGCGATTTTGACGTATTTTTGGCAGCACGCCGTGTTTGGCAAACCTCCATAAGTGAAGCTTCATCTTATTTGCACAAGGTTTAAGGGGCTGTCATCGCATCTAGTGCTCCTACAAGGGAAGTTACAGGGAACTGCATGCGTTCGCATTTGCTGAGACCGTACGTGAGCTTAAAAGATTTCCCACCATAATTTACGACAGATTGAGAAATGATCTGAATAAGATTTCTTATCATCCATAATTTCTGTAATAACATTTATCTCAATCTATCGCTTACCATGCGTGCAGGTAATTGAAATTCAAGAATCTCTTGACTGCATTATTACAATTGAGACTAACATGAATATTTTGTGCCGCATCACATAGCTAGCCTATTTAGTGAAAAATCCGTATAAGCCACGATAGTGTATTCAAGCACAGTTGCTTTCATATACTCGCAATTCATTATACCTTGCCACTCCTACCTAATATAGCACAAGGTTCCTAAGTATGTGGGATGTTTAACATTCTCTTTCACTTAATATTGATCAAGGAGTAAGGTCTGGCTTTTACGTAGCACTATACGCGACGAATGTAATTTTAATCATAGATACGAGATCACAGGCGTCATGATCATCTAATTTTCTTTTTCTTTCAATTGCATTCGACGCTCCCAAAATACTACGTTTAAGGTAGGTCTCGTACGGGGAAATCTTCATGATCAACCGACGAAAACTCGAAATCAACCGTTGAAATTAACTGTCGAAATAAGTAGAGGAAATTGCTCAACTCGCCTGCCAATATTTTACAGTTATTCTGCGAATTCGAGTCGTATATGAGTTGATAGCCGACGAGGCGCGTAAACTTTGTCGCCCCTTTCGGTGCATTTTGGTGTGCTATTATCATCTTGGATTTCTATTTCACTCGACTTCCCAAATCTTTCTGCCATTTTGTTTACTTTCTCTATGTGGGATGTTCTAGCCAACCAACGAAATTGCAGCATACCTCATATCTGGCGCTTGTGTATATAATAAAAGTAGATATATTGCCTTAATTGTTTCCTGATCGCAATAATATGACCTAGTTACCTCTCAAAAAACGTTGTAAATATTCTATTAACATAGTCGTGGGTTTCAACTTTCAACGGCTTTTCAATGTCCTTGAACATTTCAACGCACCGTTTCAAGGGGTGACGCAATCATGCAAGGGATGGGAAAACATTGTTACCCGTGTAATACGTGATGTGAAACTGATATATTATCTGTCCTACGTTTTTTAGTCTTCATAGTGATAGGAGTTGACCCACTGCTGTTAAAAGCGTTTGGAAACTGATGAGACATTCTTCGGTTTATGACGCACTTCATCAGCCTTGTGGTCACGGATGGAGTATGCTTATTTTGGACAAATTAAAGAATTCTGCTGGGTTTTCAGAATTTCCGTGTTCGGATAATTTGCTAATTGCATGCATCAACTGTAAGGCGCATTGTTGCCTGAAACTCATTAGCTTGCATGAATTTTAATAAATCAATAACAAATTGAATTGCCTGCCATGTAAACTTTGGCATCCACGATACAACAATAGCCTTCTTTTCAAAACATCATGAGGTCTGAAAACAGCATAACAATTAAATCAACTGAACATGCATTTACAATTTCAAAATTAAAATAATGTTTCTTAATATACCAATTAACATACATGTGGTCCCGACTGTGTAAAAGTCAAGTAAAAAGACAAATAAAGGCAACGAGCAGTAGCGTAGCCAGCCTGTCAATTTGTCCCGCTATGCTAATATCTTAGTCGGTTCACTTACTGAGAAAACAATAGATTTCTAAAGACATGAATAATTATAATAACTCGAAATTTACATAACGGGACAAAATCGTCAGGCTGGCTACGCCACTGGCAACAAGTTACAGGTGATTACAAGCTTCGAGTCGTGTTATAGTGAACCCAAATGGATTCTAAGTCTGAGCTCACCCCCGGGTGATCTTAACAGCCATTTAACTATGGCAACAACAATTGGAAGTGTTGAAAATTTTGTTTCGGCCAAATTATATGAGAAACACGACGTATATTAGAGCCACACATT